CATTATAAATTAGAATTAGTAGAAACGTTTCTTTCTCTCATTTTTCACTAACCAACTTCTCCGCTGCTGCTGCTGTTTGTGCTGCTCACAGTTCACAGGATCATCCCTCAGGCTCTGGTGCAGTGATTGCAGTGTGGAGAGAGAGAGTGTAAATGTTTACACTTGTCAGTGACAATGAATATGTGTGCCTGTGAGCATGAAAAAAAAATTGAGGGGAAGACACTTTTAAAAAATGCTGCAGCCACAGGCCAGGTCAAGAGGTCGACGGGACTGAAGTTATGAAGCTGTCGTCCTCACGCAAGGCAGTCCTGCAACCAGAGGCACGGCTGTCCTTTCCCGAAAAAAGACTAGAAACCCGCGGACTGGCTCGTCCGGTTTTTCACACTCTTGGCTCTGCTGCACGCATGCAAACAGCTTGTCAATGACAGAGGAAGCCGAGGTGTATTAAGAGCGAGCGCCTGAGGCCTGGGGAGTTTACACAACGTGTTGTCATTAATCCGCCTCTCAGATTTTGCTTTCCGATTCTGCTACAGCGATGCCATTCATATGCAACTTTCCTGCGAAGTTGGTCAAAAGCTTTTGGCAACTCTTTGATATGAAAATATAGCCAGACATGACATCCTATACCGCTGCGGTTTGCCAAGTGGCACTAAAGTGGAGAATCAAGTCATGTGTGTTCTCAGCAACGCAACTGAATCCAGCTTCACAAACTGTGAGAAAATGTGGGGAAGCTGAAGTGTTTGTGTGTGTGTTTACCTGAAGGTGTTGTGTGTGTGTTTGTGTGTTTTGGCCATGTGTTTTACACACCAGGCCACACAGAGTGTGCACTGGAGCCTCTGAGGGATTTGCACCAAGAGCCGCCTGCAAAAAGAAGGGGGCTCAGATTAGGGCTCAGAGCGTCTGACCGTGGAGCTCCTCAAACTGACACCTGCAGCAGCACACATAATACATACTGATCATGGGATTGGTGGCAGGCCTGCCTTTGACACGGCTAATCAGTCCATTACTCATCGCACGAGCTGTGATTCTCAGGCCGCTCCGCAGC